AAGGAATACTTCAACATTTTGGGAAAAACACATTTGCTTAGTTAAATGAGATTTTAAGATTAATCAAAGATTGATACAGTTCTAGTGGTAAACAGCTAGCCTGGCTGTGTCCAGAGTTAAAAAATGTGCCTACCAACACCTCTATGGTAAATTCATTAACAAAATGTAATTTGTTTGTTTAATCTGACAGAGAATTGTCAAGAGTTTCACTGCTTCTAGTCCTTATGCTAAGCTAACTAATCCATTCCTAATGGATGGATATGATGTTTAATTATCTGAAATGTATGCAGTATTTGGTATATTTCTCTTTATGCAGTTGCCAAATTAGCAATAGAAAATGTTGTAGCTTGGTTTAAGGGTAGTTATGGAAAGCTTCACCTGTGTTTGAACTCAAATAATCAAATTTGAAGCTGCACAGAGTTAACAGTTTCATGTTTAAATCCACTCATCGTATCTGCCTGGATCTTAAAGCAGTCCCACAACAGAGACAATTCTCCTATCTGAACTAACTGAGACACATTGGCGCAAAGTAAAGCTGCTTCTCCACAAACAGGCACCTAGGGACCAAGAGATAAGAGCAACATTCAAACTAACAGCAGTGGGTGAGCAATCAAGAGCTTTCCTCTCCTGTTTGGTTTGTTCTGATGTCAGACACCAGCTGGGATCTGTGGCTTCACATAACAGGATTTGCAGATATGTACCTTAATGATTACCTGTTGCTCACATCAGAGACGTTAAGGTGCAAACCGTGTGCAGCTCAACCAACCTGCTCTGGCGCATTGATGACTCCTGTGTTGTAACCGAACTGCAGAGAGCCGATGACAGCGGTGCCCAGAGAGAACAGGAGATAGCCTGTTACCTGATTACCTTCCTGTGAGAGAGAGAGCGAGAGAGAGGGGGAAGAACGGGGGGAGAAAGTTGCCATGAGAAGAAGAATGGAGGAGAAGCAGCAGAAAATGCAGATGAATGTGGAAATAAAAGCAGGATGTGGAGGAAGGAGACAAAGAGAGAGAGAGACATAATAAATATGAAATCTGAGCTCATAATCACATTTCCAGTAATGGCAGGCGGCATACAGATGCAATTAAACTGCGATGCTGACGCCAGACAGGTCGGTGATGCAGCACACATTATTATTATAAACAATAATATCAGGTATCAGACGGTAAACAAACGACACATAAATACACATGGAGCCAACAAGATTACTCATCATGTTTAAACTAAAATCACTACGACTGCCATGACATCAGCTCTTTATCTCATTCATGTAAACATAAATTTATAATAATCCTAGAAAATGACAAAACCAACAAATATAACTTTAAAACCAACATGAATACACAACATTTAGGGGATAAACTATATATTTGTATAAAAGTTTAGAGGCCCTACACACTAAGTTTCAGTTACGTAATCTGTTGCTTTAATTGTTTTTATGATTGTTCTTGAACATGGTCAGCTAAATGCAAATGAAATTCAGTTCCACCAGCTCTGAGCCAGCCCCCATAATACTCTCGATTCATCTCCGTAATGAAATCAGTATAAAAGGAGCAGTCGCTGTGGTCATGGCGATCATCTGACCCTCATCAAGCCAGCATAAGAGGTAGCATATCATTTATAAATCAGATTATTACACACTGATCAGAGTCCTGTGTCAAGTCAAAACTATTTTTCTTTTTCTTAAATTAACTTAATTGTTCTATAAAGCCTATAAACTGATCCATAATAATGACAATAACACTGACATTTATACTGAGAGGAGATAACAATATCAAACCTATATTAAAATAGTTTTAAATGATCAGATTTGTCATTATTCCTTTATAAATTTGTTTTCCTTTTTTTTCTTTCTTATCATTTTTACCTATTATCAAAGTGAGAAAACTAAAAGTTCTTATAAAACTAACTTTGAGACCATCAGAACAAAAATACCCAAAGTTGGTGCAACTCAGTTATTATGCCGACTGGGCCGGTTCATTGTGGGAAAATGGATAGAAACCACGACCAATCTCTCCAGAGAAAAAATAAAAATAAGATGATGATAATTCTCAGAGGGAAGGTAGGACTAAAACGTTTGGGTTAAAAGTCAAATTAAAGGTCCAGTATGTAACATTTAGGAGAATCTTTGGGTAGAAATTGAATATAACATTCATAGGTATGTTTTCATAAGTGTATAATCACCTGAACACTGTGGGTCACCCTCCACGAAGGCCTGCTCTATCAAGGATATAAGTAACAGCACAGCACAAAATGTCTGTTGATTAAAGGACAGGTTTACTATTTGTTGACATATTACCAAGTAAATATCACCACTACAAACCAGATAAAAGGGTCATTTTTTATTGGTAGAATTAATATATAGACATGTTTATTATCCTGTAAGCTTCCAAGTTTCCAATAAGCAGACTGACCCTGGAATTTGAAAGTCAAACAATATTTAAACTGCTTAAACTGCTGCAGAGTGGTTGAGTTTCTTTAAAATTAAGCTACAGGACTTGTTATTCTATATAAGGTACATTTAATTATGTTTTATCTATCCATCACTCCATTTCCTAAACTGCTCATCCTTTTCAGGGTCATTGGGGAGCTTGATTCTATCCCAGCATGCATCAGGCATCAGAAACAGAAATTTCCAGCTGTCAAAATCCATAAAAAAAGGAACGTTTGTTACTGGACAGCAATTAGAGTTCAGTAAAGGTCAGAGTTTATTAAACAAGTCTTGATATGAAATTCCTGGCAGGTCAAGCTGGGTCACAGCAGTAGGAATTAGGCCACTGTGTCTTTGTTTGTGCTGATGTCTGTAATAAACAGGCTCGCTGCTGACGAGGCAGAATGCGCTGCTGTTATTTGAGACAGTATAGAGACCTGGACAGGCCTCAGGTGATCCACTGCCCTTGGCACAACAATATCAGAGCGAGGTCACACAATATTAGCATTGGACTGCACTTCTCAGGGTTCGTTTCAGCCGGGTGGGTGTTGGCTGCTCTGGACCAATCAGACAACGTGAGAGAAACATGAATGGGAAATGATGTGAAGGTCAAAGTGGAATTATTCAAAAGAGGGATTAGAAACTGCTGAGACGTGCAGTGATTTCTTTTACATTTTGTGGCCTTTATGTGAAGCTCAGAGCATCAGTAGTTGAAGCCGAGATCAGCAGCTACTGACCACAACTTCTGACTGTCATCTAAGTACAAAGACGTGAAATGGCAGCACAGCGTGTGACAATTTCACATTCATTTTCTTGACAAACATCCGCCTGGAACAATCCCTGTTTAAGCCTTGACTCGAACCAATGAGCCATGAGATGAATCATGATGCCTTTTAAGTGAGTGATAATACACAAGCAGGTGTTCTGATGGATGAAAAGAATGAACGAGGCGAAGGTAGAAACAGCATTATTCACCTCTGCCAAGTTAGCTGAAAAAGGTCATTATGTTTGACAGGGAATCCACTGAGGGAAGAATGTCAAAGCTTGTGATCATCACACAGTTCTACCATCCTCTCTCCGAAGAGCAGTACTACCGGGTCTCAGGTCTGTAGTTTGGTAATTTGAGCAAACAAATTAATTTAGGAATAATTATGCAACATGTAAGGAGAGAACCGAAATAATGAAGGCGTTATAACTACATTTTGACATAAAGTAGGCATTAGTGCTCATAGGACCTTATTATTATGATGTAAAAAGGAAATAAAAGAAACATATGAGTTAGTAGAATGTGTTTTGCAACAATCTCCACCTTCTACTTCTTCTTCTTTGCATTCATTGAATAAATCATCCACATAGTCCATGGAATCTGTTTAGAACCAAGATTTTTTAAAAATCTTTTCTCAGAGTTAATGAAATCTGCTCTTTGGCCAAATAACCTTTTTACTGTTGTGCTGTCTCCCTTTGTTTGCATTAGTTCCCTGAGGATTTAGGTGACATTTACAAGCAATCAATTATTCGGTGAGCCCACACAGACTGAAAGCCACCGCATCTCTCTGGGTGTGTCTGCAAATGGATGGCTTGTATTCAGTATCTAAAATGGATACCAGATAGAGACCTTTGAAAGTTTGATATTTTCTCTCATTTCTTAATTGTCAATTGGCTTTCAGTTAAAACATTAAAACATTTAAAAAAAAGTAATAGATATTTAATGTTTTCTCCATATAATGACTGGTGCAGCTTTATAATATTCACTCTCAGTAGGTTTATATAAATAATATTATAAATACGATATGACAATCTGTAAGCATGTAATAAGACCAATTCAATGATTATTGCAATCCTTGCAATTGTATATTAAACAAAATGCAGAAATGTGGCCTTTATTATTGGCCTATGTGATAAGTATGTATTTTCATCCTGTCAGAATAAAGCAAATGCAAATTAGATTGCTTAGTTTCAGTTTTAAAGTAGTCCTCCTTTAATTTAGTATTGCACCTCCACAAAGTTGGGGCTTTGCCAGTGACACATTAACACAATCGATGCAACAGAAGTTGACTTATTATTATTCATTTTTAATCCCTAGTATGGCTCCAAAGATGCTAGATCCTATAATTTTGATAATGCAACCAACCAGTTTGCAACACAAGCTCACTGTTATGCAATATATTCTCTAAGAGGGTTATTTCCTTAGTTGCCCCACCAACAGAACCACAGAAGGTTAGTTGGCTATCATTCAACAGCTTCCACAGACAGCAGCAATGAATACAATATATCTGCAGTATCTGATTGGTTACCCTTCACAAGTAAAAGCCTATCAACAGTGAACGCTGCAGCGCCTCAGGTGGACGGAGACTGGAGCTGTGAGTGGAGCTGTGTGTTGAGGGGAAGGCTGCAGATGTTTCCGAAGTTGCAATAAAACATCACAATCTTATAATCAGGCGCTCTTATAACCTAATCTAAGGAATTATTACTTAAGGAATTATTACTGTAAACAGAAGCAGTAAAGTGTACGGTTGAATCAACGGTCACGATCAACGGTTCACATGCATGCTGAACTGCACAGGGTCAAGGATCAACAGTAATCTGTCTATCTTATGTTAAACCCTGTATTTCTGCACAGATGCAGATAAAGATTAGGCTAAACTAGTATTATTAATATTATGCTATTTGGAGAATTAGATTCCAGTGGTGGCTAACTGTTTCTGACTCATGTGATCTAAAAATGTCCAATAACTCCAGAGCATTGTAAAGTCCAAAAGTCACAATTTATTGAAAAAAACATATATCATTTCCAAAATGAACAACATGTTTTTATCTAACAAAATCCATATCTGCTTCAAGCCATATCTGTTAGCCTCTCAGAAACAACAATTTCACTGCGGCCTGTTTGCTCTCCTGCCAACGGGGCAGTCTGGCACCAATCAAAGAGCACCATAAAATCCATTTATATTACCACAGTAATAAAAACTCTATTTTGGCTCGTCATTACAAAACAAAAATCATATCATATCATATTTTCTGCCTTTATTGGATCAGCCTACAGATATTTATGTTGACAAAATTCATTAAAGAAAGTTGACTTAATAAAAAAATACTAAGTTAATGTGATTAATCACTCATCACTGATTCAAAATGAAGATTTTGTACAAGGTTTTTTTTTCATTTGAAAACCTCAGTACCTTCAGTACAGTCCCTGATATTAAGGTACAGGAAAATGATTATATTTCTAAGGAAGAACTTAACTTAATTCTTGACTGATCCTTCATCATCCGTCTAAAATCATCAACATCACTTAAGTGAAAAGTTAATTAAATAAGACCGATGAGATGAGAAAAGAGCCCTGAGCGCGTCACAAGATCCAAATGTAACTCATTGTGTTGTCTATCAGCTATCTATCAACCCCATGAGACACACACACACACACACATACACACAGACACACATCCTGCTATATTTGCCCTGAAGTTCACCTTCCTCTTTTCTCTGTCTCCCTTATTGACTCTGTCCGTGTCTGGTTTTTTTGTCAAGTCACAGTGACTCAGTAGAAATTATTGGTCACGTGATGGCACCCAAAACGTCTCTGTCGATAAGGATTGACAACAAGAGTGAGTAGGTCAAATAGCTATACAGCTGCTGAAATGACACTTTAACTTGTTTGTGTTTAAGAACCAGACTCTTACTTAGCGTCTGTAAAGTGTAACGTCCCAGGATATATAGCCCTGTATTATCGTGGTGACAAATCCTTTGTTCAAATCCTTTTTAATCTTATGAATGTTGGATTTTTGTTTCCCAATCTGAACAACCTTTTAGTATTACTCAGCTCAATCACCTCTCAGCTGGATTTCAAGCATTTTAATCTCATTACTTCAAACATGACAAAGATTGAATGTCTCATACTGTTTGAAGAGGAGCAGAAACACGATGCAAATCCATGAATGCCAGCTGAAAACGTTGCATAAGGCGGCTCCAGACAAACTTCTGAGTAAGCAGCCTGTTGCAGCACGCAGATTTGCTGAACAGATGCTGTGTTACTACGGTAACCGTTGTCACGATGAGAGAATGTGCTCACACTGTCCTAATACACAAATCCAACCTGAGACCTTGCATACCTTTCAGCTTTAACACTCAGATTTGAACTGGGAAACAGTCCCACACCTAGAGGTGTTTCAAGTACAATTACTGTAAGCATGACTCAGATTCCCGCTCCGACTCATATAATCATCCTTCTCAAACTCCACACAAACGTCATCTTTCTTTCCTGCCTCATTTAAGCTCCCAGTCTCTCTCTCCTCCCTCCCTTTCCCTCCATCCAAGCAAGAGTGTCCATAAAGCTCCCTCGCCCCAACCTCCTGCCTTCCTCCATCTCCATGGCAACAGCCTGGAGGTGACAGTTTTATTGACACAGGCTGAAAGTAACCACGGCACGGCAGCCACGCCACGCACGCACACATGCGGCAGGGTCTCATAAACCAAAGTAGCACTCCTGCTATAGTGAATGTGGGTGTGGACACATGTATGCACTCTCTCACACATACACACACACACACATACACACACACACAATGACTACATCTGACCCACATAGGGTCCGAGCCAGCCAATGCAGCTTCTCCAATCAACTTCCAAATAAAAGCAGGAGGTTAAATGTATTGAGCTGTGTTTTAGGGCTGCAATAACTGTTGATTTATTGCATAACCATTTGGTCTATAGAACAGCAGAAAAGAGAAAAATGTCCATTAAAATTTCCAAGAGCACAAGGTGAGATTATCAGACATCTTATTTTGTCAGAACAACTATCCAAATATCCACTTTACTAAGACATGAGGGCAGCTAATTCTTACATTTGTGAAGCTGGAACCATCAAATGTTTGGCATTTTTGCTTTAAAGTTGGGTTAAACTGATGAATCGTTTATCTAAATAGTTGCCCATTCATTTTCTGTCGACTGACTGATCGATGACTCCACTAATTGTTGCAGCTCTACTGTTTTGGGTGATGAAAACTGGCTGGGTGTTAGCGTGAGGGTCCCAAAGGGCTCGGGTCGTGCTTTGATGAGCTGGTCAATATTTGGCAAGAGCGATAAGAGCAGGATGCAAAGTCAGAGCAGTGCAGGACGCCCGGCAGGGACGCAGAAAAGTCTGTACACACACAGTGACACACATTTGTGCAACTAAACTTACTACTACACCAGGAGTCATGGGAGTCTGAGGTCGTGTTTGTAATTTGGCTGCCCGCTGAATTTGACCTTTGCTGTCCCTTAAGAACAGGTTTTAGCACAAACATAGCATTAGTCTTTTCTTCTGTGCACCCAGAGACAGTTGCAGCATGTTCATCCTCACTTTTAAGGCAAATTTGAATTTGTCCAAAGATTTCACACTCACTCCACAGCATACTTCCAGAGATATTTATCCTGATGTTGGTTTGTCTACAGACTTCAATGTGGCATTGATCGTTTCTATGTTTTACAAGCAACACCCATAGAAATATGAGAATGACTTGTCCTCGTGCTACACTGTTAAATATCCTCTGTTGGTGATGATGGGAGTTATTTTATAAAAACACAGTCTATTTTACTTTTTCTATTGTAACCACTTTGGGCGATCTCCATCTACTGCCTCATCTACTTCTATTTTATACATAATTATTTATTGAATCAATCTCATTGAGATCATAGACCTCAAGAGAGAGCAGCAGATAAAAAGAAAGGTAACAAAAGGACACATACAAAGCACACAGAGCATCAGAGACAATCACCTCCATCACTAAATACATACATTTCTTCTGATCTACTTCCACTTCTAATTTGATTTTCAACAGTTCCCAGAGTTCCTCTCAGCAAATCCCTGAGGAAGGGTGTGAATGTGCATTCGTCTGTGGGTAATGTGTGTACGTGCAGAGAGCGGCAGCATAGCTAGAGAGATGAGTGTGTTTTTTCAGCTATATGAAGAGGCTTCTTGAAGCTGCATTGCATTCTGGTCTATTTTATGCTACTGCAATTATAGAACGTGGAGTCTAAACCTTTACAATGATGGATTTATCATTGAATGCAATGTTTACTGGGATGTTTGGCATTGTGGAAATGTATTTAATGTTTGGAGAAGAAATGCATAAATCATCCACCCTTCTTCTAAAACAAACACATTTCTTTACTCCAAACTACCAGCTTCAATAAAAAGAAAATTAAACGATTTTTCCGCTTCTGTCTCTTGTTCTGAGGATGTTCAGGCCTCATAAATACACAGGACAGTAATACTGAGCACAGACCTACATCATATCAAAAGTACATCGGCAACACACACATCTGCAGCGCTCATGTGTGAGTCACAGAGTTATTATGGTACACATACAGGCTCACACCGCCCACACAGCCCTGCTCAGACGCTGCTCACACACGTCCAGAAACCACAACTCCACTGAACTCTTGAAATCAATCACTCAACTGTTCATGAATGCATTATTAACTTTAAACACCAAGTTAATAATCAACGCTAAATAAAAGCACTTCAGAGAATATGAAGAAAGAGAGCCACTCGCCTGCCCTTCCATCTTCTAGAGATCTAGCTGGATGATCACCAGGCCAATGTTTCACTCCAACTGAGGGATGCAGGGAGGAGATCTTCAGGTGGTGGTTAAAAGCTTTGCAGGACCCGCCCGCCGGCGCTGACAGCTGCAAAAAAAGGAACACACCTGATTAGGCGCTGTCCGTGGTACTAGCCGGCTCTGGCAGGAAGGACACGACCGCTTTCCCCTCCATCCCCGCAGGACACCGATCACTAATAATCGATAGCATGCATTATACAGCTCATATCTGAAGCTATGGGAAATAAAAAGAGGACATTTTGTTGGCCTAAGTCTTTCTGTTTCTGGGGTGTCAAACTGGAGCCAGCTGCAGATTTCTCCCACCCAGCTGGTCCGATAAAAGCCCCCGGTGCTAACGCTGCCTGCAGCGGACAGTAAGGTGCCCCTCACCTGTGTGGAGTCCCGGGCCGGACAAAGGGAGCTCTCGGTGAGCTGCAGAGGTCGCTTCTCGCAGCAGTGCCTCCCTCCGTTTCTCTTCTGATTCCTCTCATGCAGGAGCTGCGAGGAGTCCTGCACGTAAACGCACGCACTTCTTTTTATTTATTTCTTTTTTTTTCAGCTACTCCATCAACCTATGAAAAACTGGGATGCTGGGATGTCGTGCCGTTGCCCCGCCCTCTGCTCTTACGTGCAGGACTCCGTGTGTCTCTCTTTGCATCATCACCGCGTCCCGTGAGCCGCCGCGGCGCCAAGCTCCTATTATGGTTGCGGCCTTTTATTCGGTTAGTTGGTCAGCTCAGTTGACGAAAGCGCGGGCGCATGCGCGGAGGGATGGTCCCTGAGGGTCGTGAGGATATGATTGTGATCACCCCACACCCCTCCCTCCCTCCCTCCCTCTCCCTGTGGTGTCCTCCTCGCCTTCCCATGATGCCTCTCGCCGGGCGACCTTGACAGAAGCCGCTGGGTGACTGATGCTGATGCTGCGGATGCTGATGCAACGCGGTCCGTTACTGAGGCAACGGGTCATGCGGTGCGGCTCGGATGATGCTCCAGTTGTAGAAAATGATTACTTTTCAAAGCTTTTTGTGTATTTGCAGACAGAGACGGATTGTGAACAGCCTGTCCATGTCAGTGTGAAGTAAAAGCGCATTTATAGGGTATCAGATACTGCACTCACTGCAGGTCCCCCAGTCTTATGATCTGCTTGTGACTCAGAGACAATAACAAAAGTCAGCTGTACACATCATGGAGGTTTGTGTAAAATGGTTATGCAATGAATTTAGTGTGATTCAGTTCTGTAAGAGTGAGTTTAGAGAAAATCTGCTGCTGAATGGAGCTCATGGTGAGATTGTTCACTCAGTGTTTTCCCCATAAACATTCAGTGTCAGACTTTTGGGTCAATAGGAGAAGAAGTCCTGTAAGTGTTTGTGAAACCATAAAATTCTACCAGCTTACAATTTCATGAGAACTGGGCAAACCCTGTCTGCTGATGAAGATCATGTGACATACTCTAAAGCTCTGGACCAGCTACTAAATGGAATCTGTGTTGGGTTTTTTCCAACTTCTACTTCCTACGTTTCGAGGAGCAATTTCTTCTTTTTTCTTAATTACTTGTCTTTACTTTACTTAATATATTGGTACTTTATTTATGTAATATTGCCCTTCTGTTTCGTATGCCATTCCTATGTTGTACTAAACCCTCTGAGGCTACATAAATGAAAATCAATTCATTTTTAATTATTAATGTCTCCATTCAAAAATAAGAAGAGAATATGTTACGATACATACATGATACCTCGACACTTATTTACGACCCCATCCCATAAAACTCCATCAGTGTCAGTGTCAATGAAAGTGGTCTTCACTACTCACAAGACTGCAGATTAATATTTAATATATACTCATTTAACTGCATTGTGGAGGTCTCTGGGCCCTATTTAGTGGTACATTATTTTCACTTTTCAAAATAAAAGCTCACGTTTGTAAAAAATATAATGCACATATTCCTGGCTCTAACGTTCATATTTTCTGGTTATGTAGCTGGCTGATGTAGGGGGACGTTCTCAACATTAGTTTGAGCAGGGAATCATTATCAAGTATAAAGAAGGACAAATACAAAAGGAGTTCACAGTAACATTATATAATTTATTTAGTTGCTTCTGTACAGAAAAAGCAGATGCTTCATGTTAAGATACTACAGTGGATAAAAGGTAAAGATGGATGGAGAGGAATGTGTTTGTTCAGATCTTCCCGGGGAAAGATCCCGCCTCCACCTGCTCGTCCCATTTCTGAACCTGCAGGAGAGAGAAAGAGGAGAGAGAGGGAGGCTTAAAGACGGACCAAGATATCATTCTTAAGGTAAAAACTGGACCTTAATACCAGACATCATGTAGGTAGGATTTCTATGGATAGATGATAAAATGTGCTCAGGTATGGCTTGAGATAGAGAGACATTTGTGTATTTATGGTTGATCATAGCAGTTCTTAAATTATGAAAACAGACTAAATAAATATGTAAATGTATAGTCGTGTCAAGTCCTTCATGTGGCTCTGTGTAGGTCGCTGGTGTGAAAACAGCTTTGGTGTAGCGTACCCAGCTGATGGGGCACAGGCTCTTGTAGACCCTCTGGTACCACATGCAGGGAGTTGTGTCCTGGTCTTTGGCGGACAGAGCTTTGTTACATCTGTGGAAATCTGCAGGGAACACAGAGAGAAAGACGAGACGCGTCAGAGCGGGAAACAAACAGCCAGCAGCGATCCCCGACAAGAGAGCCATTAGTCTGAATCAGCACGTTCCATAACTTAAATAAACTCGCTATGACAATTAAAGTCCATGGGATATATTCATTCAATTATGGATGAAACCTTTTTTTAAATGAACTACATACTTTAGGTTGCAATCATGCCCTCATTCAGTCCCTACGTCTGTGTGGTTTCACAAAGCACTCGCTTATAGCTACTTTTACTTTGAAAATCAGCAGGCAAGCAGCAGTGATCGATACTGAAGATGGGTAAACGAACCGTTCATCCAAACTGTAGCGCGGCCTGAAATGAAGCTCAAATACAGCCGCTTCCAGATGTCCTCCCGACTAAATAAAGACCAACAAAACAATAAAAAATGTAAATGGAGGAAGGCTGAGACAGAATTATAACTCCCACAGCTCTTCAGTCGGCTGACTCACTAACAGAGGGTGCAATTACTCTCCAGCAGATCAACCAGCAAACCCCTGTGACACAGCAGCAAATGTGCACACTTTCTTTTTTATTTGTTGAAATAATGCAGCAGAAGCAGAAGCAGGACTGATTCATGTGAGTTTCAACACAGCTTTGATTTCAACACTGAAATCCAGACGCTTTTATTCGAACAAATTACATTTACGTACGTGTTCAGAGATAGAAGAATGTGTGAAATGAAGTTTGGGGCTGAGATAAAATGTCTGGGTTTCAGCTCTTCTCTAACGAAGAGGACAAATCCAGTAGGACAATGTTGGAAATGCTCAGTACAGTTGACAATGGCACATAAAAAGCCTTTGTGTGAACGGATGATGAGAGCTGACATTCACACATTAACTCGTCACTGTGAACACACACAAGCTGAGCAATATCAATGATGTTAAGAACAAAGGGAAGACATGCAGACGGAGGATTTAGAGGAGAGCGAAGTGACTCTGACGTAGATGTGACCCGCGTCCATCTTTACCTGCTTTGGTTAAAAGTTCAGGTTGTATTCAGCATGAGAGGAAAGGAGGGAACGGCCCTGTATCGGTCTGACACAAGGAAACATGCAGATATTCTTCATCAGTGAAGAAAGGTATGAAGAAACCTGAAGGATCAGTATTTAACAGCTCTGACCGGGTCTGCACTGTATGCACTCCATGTATGTGAGGTAAACTGTGGGAGGCAGGCGGTCTTGTTTACCCAGATAGTTCTGGAAACAGTTGCGGGTCTGGTTGGTGTTGGGGAAGCGGGCGTCGAACGGAGCCGTCCTGTAGTTCTTGAGCTTCTCATCGATATGATCAGACATCTTCAGCTGCTGGATATCTGCAGAGGAACAACAGCATGTGAGCATCTCTCAACTGGGCCCACGCTGATTAGACACAGTAGAAAAACAGTGGATGTGCATTTACAGATAGGCCATTTTTAGCCCCAAAACACGCTGTACAGTGCAGTGGATGGCAATGAGCACCTCTTGGTAAACTTTAGAGTTTGCTCAGTTTATGCCGGTTTTGGTAACTGTGTTGGGTGCCGATTTTACCAGATGGATTTAATGACTGATAAGAGAAGTTTATTTTTTCTGTACGATGTAGCGTTCAGCAATAAAACAAGAGAAATTAAAAAAACACCGCTTTTCCAAATGGAGTTCGGCGCACCGCGTCTGCATACTAAAGACAGAGCAACGCTTTGATTTGACGCTTGTTTGTTACGTTAGCCAAGAGTGGCTTATTGTTCAGTCACTATTTGTAAAGAATAAAATGAACGCTGGTTCAAAAATACATCTTATTAAAATTAACTGCAATTATAGACCTGTTCCCTGACGTTAATCTCTACCCAGAAATAGATAAATTAGCGATAAACCGGGTCAGCTGTCAGTGGATGCTAATAATTTACTGTAGGATCTACCTGTCTGCCAGAGAAATACATAAATACCTGAGATAAATGTCTTTTAATGCTATTATTAACTATGTAGACCTGCTGAGGAAGCACAAAGCGTCGTATTCTTGATAAAAGCTGTTTACCTTGCTCAGAGATATTCCGCTATAATCCCTCAGTGTCCTTTAGTCTGAAGGGCTGCACAGCCGCAGAGGACGTCGGGAAACAGAAGTGACCATTCGGGTAGTGTTTAAAGAGGCAGCACCGCCACCTGCTGGACGCAACGTGCAGGTACAACGGCAGCCTTTTATCACGCAGCCACCTTTAAAGGATGCATTACAGAATATACAAAGAAAAACATGTTATACTTCACCTCATCTGCTTAAATATTCCGCTTTAAAGTTCATTCTTGACCTTGGAAATAATCTGACTGGAAATCTTCCACTGAAAACTATTAAATGTGGTTGAGGACCTAGTTCTAACATGTTTTGTGCTTATATACTGTATATCATTATTGTCTTGTAACCTGTGATCAGTGTAGTAATGTCATAAAATATATCACCACACCACTGACATGGCTTCTATATTATTTTATTTAATGCATTCCCATTTACATTTAGTTAATTCAGTTCATTTGTATCTCTAATAATATCATTGTTTATTTTTAAAATGAAAATTGGTTAACGTTTAGGACTTTGGTTGTGGAAAGACAAATGACCTGAAGGATTAATTAGTTTAATATTAATGATTGTCGGTGTGTTGTGAAGATTCCTGCTAAAAAAAAAAATGTGAACAAACAAACCAAAAAAAAAACAACGTATTTTATTATTATTTTTATCATTATTATTAGAACAACTAATACATGTAACTAAATTGCTTCTTACCAATCTGGTTGATTCATTATATATTAATTGTTTCTTTCCTGCTTTGTTGCCTTCTCTCTTCTGATATCTTCTCTTCTGTTTTCTCCTCTCCTCTCCTCTCCTCCCTCCCCTCCCTCTCCCCTCCTCCACTCCTCTCCTCCTCCTCTCCCTCCCCTCCCACTCTCCTCTCCCTCCCCTCCTCGCTCTTCTCTACTCTCCCTGTCAGAGTAGCTTCGTCTCTCTCCTCTCCTCTCTCTCCTCCCCTCCTCTCCTCTCTCTACTCTACTCTACTTCTACTCTCCTTTCACCTCTTCCACTCCTCTCGCACTCCCTCATCACTGTAGAGGTACTCTGTCTCGCTCTCGTCTCCCTCTCGTCTCTCTGTTTCCTCTCCTCCTCTCCCTCCTCTCTCGCTATCGGTCTCTCTCGTCTCCTCTCGTTTCCTCCACCCTACCCCCATCTCCCTCCTCCTCTCCTCTCGTCTACTCTCTCCCCACTGTCTCCTCCTCTCTCACTCCCTCCCCCTCACGTATAGTAGATTGTTCCTCTCGTCTCCCTCCTCCTCTCCTCTCGTCTCCGCTCTCCTCTCCTCTCCTCTCTCTGCCCTGCCCCTCCCTCCCTCCTCCCTCTCCTCTCCGTCCTCCCCGTCCTTCCCCTCACTGTAGATGTAGCTTGTCTCCTCTCCGTCTCCTCCGTTTTCCTCTCCTCTCTCCTCTCGTCTCCTCTCGTCTCGTCTCATCTCCCCTCCTCTCTCCTCCTCTCTCCTCCCCTCCCCTCACTGTAGAGTAGCTTGTCTCCTCTCACAGATCCTCCTCAGCTGGTTGGAACATCTGGAGATGTACCAGCTCCTCCTGTAGTCGTCTCCTGGGGTGATTCGACCACACAGCTCCCTGCTGTCTGTGTTGTCAGGCTCATGTAGCCGAAACCTGCAGGAGAAAACAAAAACAAAAACACAGTCTTTAATCTGTTACCATGGCAACCACTACTCCTCTATATGAAAATACATCATAAAATTACAACAGCCTCCGGCTGTCTTTCAGTCCCCTCCCATTATGGCAAATGTAATCAAAGTCGATCCAAAGAGAAGACTGAAGATACTGTAACTAACTAGAAACATTTAATAATTCTAGCTTCCTTTTTTATTTTCACTTAATAAATACTTTAGAATTAGTGTTAATGTGTACAAAATAATTTAAAAAAGGGGCCGTTCTGGTGACCTCAAGTTGCATGTAAACCCCTCTCTCTATCCTTTCCTTTCGGGTCACTTCTATGTACTCGTTATCAAAGAACTAAAAATACCAACATAAAAATTTCTGTTAATAATTAAAGTAAGTACAGTAGGCCATATCTGCTACCTTTCCCTTAAAAATAAAGATAAAGATAACATCTATTCAGTTTCAGCCTGAGTCTTTTGTTATTTATATTTAATCATAGATAATAAATATCATCTCATATCTGTGATATCTGAGGAAGATTTAAATATATTAAATCTATATAAAGAACTTAATAAAACATATTTAATATGATGGGATTTCCTCTTGAGTACATTCAACTAAACGTGAAGTATATCTGACTTTAAATAAGATCCAATGTTTTAAAATAAGTAGTGACTGAAAAAACCTAATCCCAAAATGAAAATTAGGGTTACGTTTTTTTAAAATGAACTAACTGTGACTTTAAAGTTTTGTAGAGTAATTTAGTAGAAAAGGACTGAAATGTTTCATTCTGTTGATTTTAATGTTTGAGTATATAATATATAAACAAACACACATAAAAGTGTCTGATACTGCCCACTTTAAGTCGTGTGTTGTTTCCTTTTAACTGTTTACTGTATACACATTATTATTCTAAGGTATGTTGCTTCTCATTGTGTATTTTATTGTGTTATTTATTCATTTTTATATTTAAATAATGAGGAAAGTTTGTCTAAATCTGCACAGACTCAATAGATTTAACCTATTTTGTGTAATAGAGTATATTTTTTTCTTCACAATACAAATATTTTACTCAGGGGTTTATCTGCATTTCAATATCTTCAAATGGAATCGCTCGTCTCAAGTTTCCTGTGTGTCCTCACCCGTGAACCAGCAACATGTGACCGAACTCTCAAGCTGCAGGAAAAGAGATCAGCGTCTGGTGGCTCGTCACCTCAAGAGCCCCGTTTGTCCCTGTTTGTCCCTGTTAAACCCTCTTCAACCCTCCTCCTCCTCCTCCTCCTCCCTGTCATTACTCACTCTGGTCCCTTCTCCACCGGGGAGCCATCGCTCCACTGCCAGCTACCGTCACCACCACCGCTCCTCAGCCCCAGCCAGTAGGAGTCTCCCTGGCTCAGACTCTGGGCCTTTTTCCACAGAAACACCTGGGAAACATGTCAGAAAATGTCATCACCTTCCCCCAAACACATCTTAACTGGGAACATCAAGCACATAAACTGTGTAACACGTACAGTAAAACAGTGAAAGACAAAACCTCAGATGACCTTAAGCAGCTCCTGCAGACGTCTCCATATTTCATGGAGGTCTTAAATCTATTCTTAACTTCCCTGATGGTGTGTGTGTGTGTGTTTGTGCACTTGGAAATGTGTGATCTTACAGCTGATATTTCAGGGAAAGCATCTCAAATGTTTACAACTGGACACATGCAGAATATATTATTAATGAAGTTCCATGTCTGACACAAAAATACTGATTTCCAGTGATGTTTCTGTTTTTATGATGGAACATAAACACTTACAATAAAGTAATGAATGAAATATGTGAAGAAAATTAATCAGAATGTGTTTATTAAATATATAAACCTAGAAAAATAATAGGGCAGTGTGTGTGTGTGTTCACCTGCTCCTCCTCTGTCCTGACTGTGGCCACAGCGCCCCCCAGTGCCATGCAGCGGTACTGGCTGCTCATCCAATCGGCCCTATCCTGACTGAACAGGAAACATTTCTCCCCCTGAGGCGTCCAGTTGGCTGGACACGGTCTGCACGCTCTCTCTGGATGAAAAAAGACAGAAGGATGAATGAAATCGTATCCTCGCTGTGTTTTAATCTGCTTCAAACTCCGAATGACCTTTTCACAGCAGAAATGTCAACACAGAGTAAATTTTCATCTGTGATATGATTTTTTCCAGCTGTGAAAACTTTTACGACTACTTTATGGCCTTTCATGCAAGAATTACAGTTTTCTTAATTCAAAAGAGTCGTAATACACCAAAACACTAAACACTGTCTACATGTTCTCCAGTGTTTTTAATTCATCTGGTTGTTTGATTAAAATTAACTGCTGCACATTATGCATAATTGTAACAATCTTGCAAAATATAAATGCAAGTACATCAGTATTTACATAACAGTGTATTACATAAAGTACATAAAATGCTATAAAGCAAATATATAGTTCAGTGCAATGAATGCTTGATGTCCACTGCAGTGTGCACTTATAGTTTCAGTGAGAGAGGAAAAACCAGAGAGAATTCCTGTTATCTGAATCCAAAATGGGAAGCTGACATGGTCACGCTTGAACTGTTTGTGTACTTTTGCAAATCACTATGCAAATCGGAGCTGCTGGGTCAAACGGTTTTTGCAAATAATTCCTTGTGTTTAATCTGCAGACGAGAGCCCGACTCGCCCGGATGACGGGTAAATCAACAGTGACACAAAAAATATAAAATAGATTTTCAGATTTTCATTCTCATGTGGTTATTCTGGTACTTTTACAGAACTCTCTTTTTTCTTTTTTTCTTTCCTTATTTCTTGATGCAGTGAAAAAAAGCTAAAGCAAGATGTTGATGAAGTACAGAACAGATATGATTCATTGTCAAGAAAGTGTTAATTTTTATGTAAATGCTAGCTAAGCTAACAATGCCAAAAACCAAAACCAGGGCTTAGGTGGTAAACAGAGGTTGGTAAACTGGGGGCAAGCTGTAATTTACCCATATTGTTTCCCCTCACTGATTGATACAGTTGATCTGAAAATGGGTGAGTTTGCTTTCAGCCTCATTTCAAAGAGTTTACTTGGGTTAAATATCCCCCACTGTGTCCCTGACCAAAACTAACATACATCTTTTAATGATAAATTTCATTGAACTTGCAGACCATTTGATCCTGTAACCTATAATTTAATTTAAAGGTCCAGTGTGTAGAATTTAGTGGCATCTAATGGCGTATTGCAACTCACTCGCTTCACCCTTCTTTCTAAGCCCTATCTAAAGCTACAGTTTGGTTTGTCCATTCTTGGCTACTGTAGAAAACACGGTGGCTCAACATGGTGCCTCCATGGAGGGAGGGCAACCTGTAGCATCTGTAGCTAAAAATGGCTCATTTTAAGGAAATGAGTCTCAACCCTCAAACAACTCTTTGAAGAAGTCTCACAAGGTCTAAAGCCTGGATCCTCTTCAAACCTGACACACACAGCACTTACCACCGGTGGTGGAGTTGCTGACTGGGCAGTACTGGTTCAGAGCCGGGTACTGGGAGAACAGGAGGTGATACGACTGGTTGAGCTTCTCCAGTCTGTTTGTCAGATCTCTCAGTTTGGTTTCCTGCAGGGTTGACTGTGACTGGAACAGGAAGGTGATCTGAACCACTGTGATATCAAACACACACACACACACACACACACCCAGAAAGACAGAAAATTACATACACAATGTTCCATCACCCGTTTCCATGGATACAGGATAATAAAGGATGTGTCGGGGAGAAAACAAAGAAGACTGCAGAGGTATAAAAAAATAAAAAGATGAGGCCATTCAGAAGGAACATAAAGAGTTAATCCTCTCTGTAAACCTTCAAAAGACGACATTCAGTCTAAAATAAGACGTGAAAAGAATGACGTCTCAATTTCTGACAAAATGACAGCTGCTGGCACGACAGTAAAGAATATTTTGAATTTTTTTTAAAACCAAGATGAAGACATGATCAGTTCATGGCTGCTGTGAAGTTTCAGCTTTTAAAAATATGCCTCCACACCATTTTCTTTCATGTCAACAAATCAACCAAAACCAACAATGATGAGATCCCACTAACACATGTTCAGTGTATCTTCTTCCTCGGTGCCATAGAGCTCCACTGTTCAATAAAAAACACAGCAGTGAGTCACACTGTTGCACTGGGTGACTCCATTACCATCAACATACACACTGTAGTTTGACTCAATCACACTGTCCTGTTGCCCCTAATACTCACTAGAGCTGCCACATGTGGATTCATCCGCCACTGAAAATAGTCCCCAACAAATGCACAAGTTCCTTCCTGTTTTATTTCTAAAAGCTACAGAGACTGACTGTTTCAGGAAATTACTGAACTTACGAATCTACGTCTTCAGAAGGAACCAATGGGCTTGGAGACCCACAGTGTTATTTAGAGGTGGACTAACACATTGCAGGTTTTGTTCTTTATATTGACTTAAGAAAAAATATAGAAAAACACCAATGTTAACCTAAATGAATTTTAATAAAATGTTTTCTATTTCTGAATTATATCACATAATTTACTTTATACTATAAATTATATCAAATATGAATTCCATTAAATATCTCTTTTTTTTTATAAAAATATCTCTTTATTTATTTATTTTTATTTTCTCTTTTCTTTTGTTGCTGTTGTACTATCTTGTATTTTATTTACAAAATTCTTCGGTATATGTTCCTGTATGCATTTAAAGTATAGTTCAGTGAACTTGCACCTGTTTCCCTGGACGGGTAAACCATCACAAAGTACTCACAGCAGAAAGTCTGGAGCAGAGTGACGATGACGAGAAGGAAGCACAGCAGAGAGAAGAAATGAGCCAGCTGTCTGTACTCACTGAACCAACCTGAGAGACACAGCAACAGAGAAAAAAAGACAACTCTTAAACTTCACATAGACTACTATTTTCAGTAGGAGCTCATTATAATACTACATACAGGGCCAGCTCACCCAAACCAGCCCAACAGACCAGCAGTAAATCCTGTCTTTGTGAGGCTGATGCTGGTTCCTGAGACTGTAGGCAGGGGTGTTGTTGCACTATTGATAAGCATGTTGTACTGTAGGACTGTAATGTCAGATTGCATGAGATTCTACAGCTGTATGTAACACACTTACTTCTAATGGAATCCAGACATGCTGATAGTTTCAGTTTTATTTGCTGAAGTGTTGAGAATGTTGCTGAGACTTCAGCCACCCCCTGGCAGCGAGGTTTGTAGATTATCCCCAGTAACTGGGATATTGTTTCTGTAAAGAAATGTTTGTGTTCAGTTTTCAAATGTCACTTTGATGCTTTAAACACAACAAGTGGCACTTCACAAAACCTCAGCAAATAAAGCTTAAACTATCTGCATGGCTAGACATCACTGGGGATAAGAGGAAATATTATTGGCTGTTTTTATGTTATGGCTGGTATTGTTGTTTGGAACAGAACCTTTATTCACTGCATCTTTATAACAGAAAGAGCAGCTAATTAATACAATCATCAGCTAATGTAATAATAAAACCCACTTGACACAGTCCATTCAAGTAAATAATTTTAAAGTAAAACAGTGCCAAATTTAAAACACAGAAATTACAAGCACTCAAAAAATCCACTTAATGCACTTGATCTTTGTGGAAAGTGCAAAGCCTTTAATTTGCTGTATTAAGACCATGATTTCATAATTTGTTGAAATGCATCTTAAAATCGCAAACATTTGAAATTAAATGCATACGCTTCAGCAAGAATTATTTAGCAACAAAAAAAACCAAATTACTTTTGTCTGCAGATTTTTCCTGTTGTTCTTCCGGCAGAGCTGATCCATTGCTCACTCCCATGGTTTCGTCGGTTCCAACAGGCATAAAGGTTTTGTTTAAGTAATTGCTGCGTTAAAGCATATTGGCTCTCCGCCAGCTTTTTTACTGAGTCCTCAAATGTTGTTTTAATACCTAAAAAGCCTTTGTTTCTCAAAAGCAGATATAAAAGAACAGCCCGGTGTTCCTCTGGTTAGTGTTTAATGTACAATTAAATGTCTCGTATGAAAATACTGGCTCCTCTGCAGCCGTATATGCAAAGCAGGACTGGACCTGATAACCAAACGAGCCCGAAGAATTCAGCAGCTGATGTGCCCTTTTAGCCACCATGGAAGTCCCCATCACCTTTTGTCCATCATTTCTACAATATTTTAAATTGCTGTTGATAAATACTGTAAGTCATCAATGTAATACAGAAATGTTCACACCTGAAGTATACCTATACTTGAGCTTTATTGTCTCCATAGGGAAATTTGTCTTGGACCCAAATGCTGCGCCATATAGCAGGATCAGGATTAGCCATTAACTGGGGCACCTGCTTTGCCCAAATGTTAATCCAGTGTTTACTATATTTGACATGTGTCTGGACGTCCAGGATGATACAAGTGTCTGTAGCTTTGGCTTTATCTGCTGTTTTTAATTTAGATTTTTTTTAAGTAGCTCTTTCTGTTCTTAAATTTAAAGTCTTTAAGATATCACACCTCATTTTTGATACTATTTATGGCTTTCGTTTTTGCAACCATAACACTTCCATTTTCTGTTAACCTCTCTATGGTTGCGTCATCATTAGTGGCAGGGTCTGCCTTTCCCGGATGGTATTCATATTGTGCATCAGCACACAAGAGAGTCACAGGTAACAATGTATGCCTGCATTTATGTATAATGTGGAATAGAGCATTTGATTGTGAGTTAAGTATACCGCATCAGGTAACATTGTTGATTATCTTCTGTAGTCCTTTATATTAAAACAGTGTGAATCCTCTCTGGCCACTCTTTATTTGAGACTGAAGAACGACAGCATCAGTCATTTCAGAACCCTATTGGCATACATTTAAGTGACAAAGCCCTCTAGTGGCCCTAGTAATTATGTTGGGAGCAAAAGAGGAAGTCAGGTGACAATGTTATAGTGCTTTTTTAAAAGCATGATTACAATCATTCCCTAACCAACCATGATTTACTTTCATTGTTACCATAACGATTATTCTACTATGTGTTGTTTAAGAGGACATGGGCAAACAGGTTTGGTCATTTAATTTGGGAGCATTTGTTTGTTTGGATGCTCAGTAAAAAGATACATCAGTGTGTTACTTCACATGGTTGACACTTCCATTGGAGCTCTACTGCTGAATTGCTATTTCATTTCTATTTACAACATGTGCATACTATAATATTGCACAGGGCAGAATTAAATTAGTTTGTAGTCAAGTTTGACTTCAGAAAATATTTTTAATAGTTTTATTCAAAATCCTGACATATTTACAAATATTTGACAGCGTTTACAGAGCATTTTCCTCTTCTTTCAAGTTTTACAATACAGCTTATAATTTTGGCTTACACATGAGGGAGGGACTGTAGACTGAACACAATGTAATACTTTAAATATTTACAGCCAAAGACACGAGGATGAGGATAAACATAACAAAAAACCTAATAAACATTAAAATGTACACCAAAGGCGAGAATAAGCAAGTCTTTATGCATAAAGTTGTATATCATATTTTTATATGTTTTACATCAACATTCAGCTTACAAACTACACAGTTCGGTAGTAGGAGGAGGTGTATGAACTGAAGTCTATGTAACAAAGACAGGAGAAACATATGAAAGACATGTCACATGCATTTGGCCCACTATCATAAGAAGAAAACGGGAGCATGGTTTCAAAGTGCTGCTTGTCTTGGCATTACAGTCGAAGAAACATTCTGCAGATATTTACAGCCGTAGTGCGACACTGTCGGGATGATGTGGTCCTGATGCTGAGAGACTCTATCACCATGGCAACAACAGATACCCCTCTTTCCTATCAATAAAGAAAGTTCAACGCAGAATGTAATCTGAGTTTAACTCAAATTACACAGTGTTAAAATAAACACATATTAAACAGTTTCCTCCAAAAGATGTGCTTTACAAACAAACGCAGGGTTAAGAGTGGGTTAAGAAAGTCCTATGAACTTATTAAATTATTTACAATATGAGAAATGCCATAATAAATGTTTTAAATAATTAAAAACAGACTGATCTGATATAATTCACATGTACAAAAACCTCTTTTGTTATAAAAACATGAAGGTGCATCTACAAACAGCGTGAAATCAACAATGTCTCTTTTCATTTCTTTATCTTCATCTGATCATGTGCAAGTGTGTGTGTATGTGTGTGTGTCTGTGTCTGACTCTGCCATGTGGTTTGAGCTGGTCAGAAATAGGCAGGATCAGATCAGTTGTCCACAGGTAAATCCTGCTGTAAGCCAACGGTTTGCTGAGGAGACATCAGCATTACCGGTGTGACATGCTGATGGATCTTTAACACTGTACTGTTGCAGTCAGGTGGCTTGTGGCCGTGACATGTCATGTCTGACACTGACCCGTGGTGGTCTTATTTAACAACCGTTTGACTTTTGAACAGAGAAATGAATCCACATACAAAAATTTAAATTTAAAACATCACACTTCAGAGTTATGGAGAACACATAACATATGGATTACACTTTTTGTTTTCTTTCTACAAAAAAGCCTGTTGTAGATTTTTCAATATGAAATACTAGTATAAAACAGTCCGCCGAAATCTCTCTCTGCATTTTAAAAAATTTCTTGCAGCAGCATTACTCCTTTGTCTCCACAAAACCACGAGCAGATATTCGATTGTCAGTACTTTAGCAACATTTATGAATCATCACGGTTCAGGTCTCCATGTGGCTTTATTTGTAAGCGATCCTGTGCCTTTCAGCCACTCTTTCACCTCCTGTAATGTTTATTTGCTCACATACCAAACAATACAACCTAGTGCAGGCGAGCTAATGGCAACAAGCAACCTTTGAACCTGTTCCGATGGATTCAAATCCTATTATGTGTGTAAGATCTCTCAGAGCAGCCGTAGTCATGACCACACAGCTGGTAAATCCAAAGCCCTGCGCTCTTTGGAGTCTTCAAAGCCGTCCTGCTAAGAGCGTCAGAGCGAAGAAGTGAGGGTGTAGGTGGAGAAGGCAGAAAGATCGAACAGGAATGGCAAAAATACATAGCAAAAGCAAAAGAAACTCCTTGCTCCGTCTGTTGCCCATGGCTGAGCTTGTGTTATTAAACTTCTGCAGACCAATATGATGAAAACCCAGAGCAAGCAATGAAATAAATCATTTCCCCAACTTTGATCCATGACAAAATAACATTTTCCCACTCTCCAGCTATTCTTGACATGGCTATGCAATCAGAAATATGGGGATGATAATACAGCTCTGGGTGAGGGGCTTTTGATCAGTCCTTAGTGGCAGGGCTCAAATGGGAACTCGGTGAGCCCTCCGTGGAGCTCCACTGACTCCTCCGACCAGGACATGACATCACCAATGAGGTGGCCTCCGCAGGTGGCCTGGCTGTAGATCTCAGTGGGAGTCAGGACTCTGGACCAGAACTGGAGATCAGACAACTCTCCCATGAAGGACTGAGTGACATCGAAGCGGCCTCCCATCGTGTCCTGTTAGGATCAGTGAAGAACAGGTCAAAATCGAAAATGCTGGATGGACTGAATCTGAACACAGAGGTCACTGACGAGATCTAACTGAGAGCTTTTGAAAGTCATAAAACAGAGATTATGACTATTTGTATTTTTTACTTCACAGTAGGGTTAGGGTCAGGAGTTAGGGTTAGTAACAGTAACAGTTATGTTCAACTCAACATTTCAAACTTCCTAGAATATCTGCGCAGGGCATCGACAACATTGTCTAGGTTGAGATGAAAAGCTCATGGTTCACGTTCCAGTAGTAAAAAGGAAAACATTTATTGGATTTCTGTGATGACAAATTTTGGTCTCTTGCATGAAAGTCAACACCAACCTTCTCGACCCCATACCCTTACTTTCTGCCTTGCTAAATAAAGGACATATTACTTCATAAATTGGCAATGAACTTAAAGATGTTCTGATACCATACTCAGCATTAAAATTGGTCCGATACCAGGCAAAGTCACTGGATCGGATATTGGGGGATAAAAAAGTATAAACTCATATGAGCCATTAGCTCATAGGTATTGGCTTGGTATCAGTACTGGCATAATACTCAAGGTTGTGGCATCAGAATTGAGCCATCCCTACTAAATTGTGAGGTGCAGAATCTTTACTATTATGGTTACTGGGCTGATGTAATGTATGAGCAAGATCTCCATACTATTTTTACCATAACCTCTTAGTGGTCCAGAACTTCTTGTAATGGGAGGTCCCAGACTGGGCACAAATTGGACGACATTTCATAAGATTTCAGGACATCTAACAGTCCAAATAGGAATGACTGTCTGACAATGTGCCCAACAACGTGTGTTCACCTGCATTTGTTGCACTTTTGAGCTTTGTCAGAAAGCATACGGTAAGTCTTACCTGCTCCTGGCCCAGGATGAAGGTCCCTCCTGGTTTGATGGGGTGCCAGGATGACAGGTTTTGCCCTGAGCCTTTCTTCACCCCGTCCTGGTAGGCCTCCCAGCTACCATCTCGAGTCGACCACGTCACGCACATGTGATGCCACTTCCCATCTGTCATGGTTATGGGCAATGTCACCGCCTAAACACACAGATGGAGACAGACACACCATGAATGGTGAGGATGAGGAATGTCTTGACCCCATACTGTGAACTGCTGTTCTAGTTTAACCACCATTTTTTATGAGGGTAAAGTTTTGATACAAATTTCATTATTTATCTGAAAAAAAACTGAGGATTAATTTATGACTGCGAAAAAGAATTCTGTTCACAAAGTTCAACGTTTTACACTTTTTCCAAGTTGTGGATATCTTTCTTTCAAGTTCATTTAAAATAAAGATTCAGCCTGTGATAAGTTAATGGCATAAGTGAGGCCTGACCTGACCTTACGACTTAAAAAATGTTGGAGGAGTAACAACAACAGTGCAGACTTCCTGATCTCTGATTTCCCACCTTCAAATGTATACAAGCATCCAGACAGAAATAAAGCCTTTTCTTTGTTTTAATAAGAAAAGAAAATCAAAAACACTGTACCTTCTTTCCCAAATGTTATTCTAACACTGTGAAAACACATTTCCATGACAAATATCTCCTGTATGATAGAGAACATTACATGCAAGTGCTTGCTAATGAGAGAGTTGATTAGTACAATATGAGAATCGCCACTCGGTTCATCCTTATAAACTCTAGAAGATTAATTAAAGACTGAGAGTAATCTGCATTCTTAAGATCATTTAACTGTGTCATTGATCAATTTGATGACTTCCAAGTGTGTGACTGGAAGAAAAACAAACATGACAGTTTATCCTTTGTGGTAATGTCACTCCTGCAGACAATTAGGCCAATCAATTACAATAATCAGATTACTTGCTTTGTTAATTTGTTTGTTGAGCTCCTTTGCTCACAGTACTGGGGCAAGGAAGGGAAAAAGACAAACATCTGTCTTCCGTTTATGGGAAAAGGGTATCAGCTTTTCAGAGAATGAAAGATTAAGATTAACGGTTTGTAACATGTATGTTAGGGGTCTGTGTGCAAGTCAACGTCTCATTGAATCATAAACTGTCATTCAACCAGATTGAACCAGATGGCACCACGAGCCGAGTGCCATCTGGTTCTATTAGAGACATCTGTACTGTCAATATCTCCAAAACCTGGCAACTCACAGCAAAACAGTCTAGATGGATAAATGACACTACAGGTAAGTAAATTTGTATTTTGGATTTTGGTGTAAACTGCCCCTCTGATGCACATACACAGTGCATATTTTTTATTTTTTTGCCTCCACTGGAATCCAAAACACAAGAAGACCAAGTTGGCCAATCATGGTCTCCACATGGTAATAGTACCACCATGAGCAAGCACTTGGCGACGGGGGCAAGGAAAAACTGCCTGTTAACAGGCAGAAACCTAGGACAGACCCTTCGGCTCTAGGTGG